TAAACAATATGGTAGCAGTTCACCATTTTTAAAGAGTAAGTTAAAGACGGAGGGCGCACGTGATGGTTTCAGAAAGTCACACAGGAGAAGCTGACATGGGGAAGGACGAGGGGCTTAGTTGAGCCAAATATTCTGCCTTCCGCAGTGGATATTTGAGGCTACATTTGTCATCCAGGGTGCAATCCTGCACACACAGAGCTGGAGGAGGGGAGTCCTTCCTGACAACTGCACTGATTAGCTGGTGCCCTGAAGAATGACGTCTGATTACCTTTATCTTCGGCTGCAGAACTGCAAATGTCACTAATGGTCATAAAATCACCCAGTCTTTTTCAAAATACAACCGAAGTAAATTAATCTATTGAGCACAGTTTATTCAATACTTCTTACTCTGGCAAAACTCCCAAAAAATCATTTGCTTGCTGCATGTCTCCGCCATATGGTGTCATTCAATGCAGACTTTCTTTCCTGAATTGAAATCCAAAATTTAATGGAGTCGAGTCACCTACAGAGTTTTTTCAGCTCAAACCTACTAACAGAGTTTTCTGTCAAAGAGGTCACACAGCACTTTCCAGTTTGATACATTAACCAATACCAGCATGAGTCCTCTTTTCATAATTAAAATCAAACTCCTGTGGTTTTAGCAAGTTTGAGGGAAGCATTTTGCCCTGCACAGAGGAGAGCCAATGCCCAGCACTGGACAATGTCAGCAGTCTTTGTCTGCTTTCAGAACTTCAAAGTCTTGGTCAGTGGCTGATATACTCTCCTATCTGCAGGTGGTTTCTCCTATCAACCTCTCAGCAATCAGTAAAATAAACCAAAAAACATGACATGGAACTGTACTGGGAAACTAAAGTGGCGAGGCACTATTAAAACCCTTGCAAGCATGTTTTTTCTAATGGGGCCTTTTTAAATAGAGCCTTACTGCCAAAGAACAAGGGACAATAGAAAGAATTTCTGGGTACGAGGCACACCTACAGCAGGCAAGAGATAAATGCTGGTTTTCCTAGAAACACAAGCTCAAGACCAGGAGAAAAATGCCTGACTACACATTTAGCTGTGCTGGTATTTCATCCTCTCCACCAGATCTGCCTAGCATCAGCTAGACACTCCATCACTCAGTTTCCTCAACTGTAAAATGGGGCCACACTTTGACAATTCTGGTTTTGACATAATGATGTCATCCTCAATCAATGGTTTTAGAAGAACACCGTCCATCCTCTGGCCCCAGTATCTATCAATAACGTACCATCTCTCTCGGTAAAGACTGTTATTACAGTAATGAGGAGGCCGCAAGCTCTGCTTCACACAGCATTTCCTAAACTTTGGAAAGCAGCATAACCTTTCATGCAGCAGCCTCCCTTTGCCCTTGCTGTGTGCCCACCACAGATGCTGCTTAACTGTGCCAAGGACTACAGCGCTACATGTCTCTCATGCTATGCAGTTTTATGCTCATCCTTCCCTCCATGCTCTACCTACGACCTTCCACCACCCCTGCCCCACAGCTGTGAGAAATGCTGGTATGCTCTGCAGAAGGAGACACTTCCCCTCTGTACCTACTCACTTGGATGAACACTGAAATAATTTAAGCCTCGGCATTAACCCTCTCATTACTGGAGCCAGCAGTTGTTGAAGGGGGTTTAAGTGCCTCCCAATGCGATCACGACATGGCAGAACACGCTCACGGGCAGCTACCACAGCTCAGATGACAAGCAGTAAATTGTTACATCAAGCTGTCTGGATCATTTCTGACTGCTGACCCACACCCCGGGGGCTGCCACAGCTGCTTTGGATACATTTGTTGCTGTTTCAGAATTTCTACCACGAAGGATAACTCTGTTTTAGCGGAAGTTGGGAATCTAGAGAGACAGTGCAGTGTCCTGCCACTCCAGCCAGTCCACCACGCACCCCAAAGTGCCACCCACCCTGCCCGAGAGGCTACAGTTTAAAAAACAACTCCCAGAAGTGTAAACCAGACAAAGAGGCAGTAAAATGTTGTATCAAATAACACGAGCACTGGAGAACACCCAGTCCACCCTCTTCACACACGAAGCGCCTGGATAAGAGCAGCCAGATCTCAGACTACACCAGCTTATCGGGACATCATAAGGCAGAAGAGCAGATTTGACAGCTGCAGGCCAAATGTGTCCTACAAAGCACTGCACTGCTGGAAGCAGCTGCCCTCATCTTTACAGCAGATGTCCACCCTGTGATGGCTTCAGTGTCTGGTGTGACATGCTCTATCACCAACTCATCTGAAATAGAGCAGATCCCACAGGCCTCATCTCAATCTCCCCCTCTGTAGCCCAGCAGGTGGGGATGCAGCCAGAATTAACCCAGTGAAGATGAGAAGCTGCCTTTGCTGCTCTTGCTTATACCTCCTCCCATGCTGTCCACTTGCATGAGTCCAGCTTGTGTCCAGAGGGCACCAGGACAAAATTAAGCTGTGCCTTTGGGGAAGCTCCTTCCTCATTGCTATTTCCTTCTGCCTGTGCTCTCTGCTCATGCTGCATCTTCAGCAGCTGCTCCCCACCCACATCACCTCTCTCTCACCACCCTCATTCACAGACTCAACCCTTCCTTCCAGTTCTCACTAGCCTTTGCCAGCATCCCACTTGTCCCACCCTGACTACTCTGGCATCTAAACCCAACATGTTTCCAACACCCTGGTCCATCATCCAACCTTCCCACAACCTCAACTGTGCCCTCACCACCTTACTTGTCTCCCAGCATCGCTCTCCACCCAAGACCCTCATTTCTTCCTTCAGTCCACACTGCTACCTCTCAAACAATTAATTTCTCTCCTCCAACACTTCTTTTCTCCCTGGGATCTCTCTTTCTCCCCATCAGCACCAAAACTCCATTTCCATCCCTCCCCCCAGTATATTCCTATTTTTTCTTTTCAACCCAGATTGCCTCTCATCTCCCCAGCTCTTGGCAGAAAACCCCAGAGCACAAAAGATCCCAGCAAAATATCCTAGCCAGCCAACACTGACTGGGTTTTCCCAGTGACTCACCAGACTATCCATCCCACCCAACTGGCAGTTTTCTTTCAGCCTCTGAGCAATTTGTTTCAGTCCTGCCCACCCCTGAACACGCAACCCCTTCATCCAGGCCTCTCTGCCATGACTGAACTCCCCTTTTAAGGTTGTTTACCAACAACCAGGCCTTACACCTCACCAAGCTCTCCAGTAGCTCCCTCAATCAACTCCTACAGCCAGGATTCAGGTCACAGGGTGGCCTCCTCCCACCTTGGTTGGGCTGTCCAGTGTCCCTTTACAGTCACAGCTGGTTCAAGATTCTTCATAATCAATCCCTGAACACTGCCCTCCATCCTTGCCAGGCTCTTCCATTGCTCCTTCCCTTCTCAGCCCAGAGCCTGCCATCCTGCTGCCCTGCCCTCCCAAGCACCCAATCCTCTAACACGCCTTCCAGACTTTGGCTGAATCAACTACAGGCAGGCTGATCCCATCCCCCACAGCACCCTCAGGTCTCCCAGCCCCTGCCAAGATCCACCTCATGGAATCAATTAAGCTGGAAAACACCTCTGAGATCACTGAGTCCAACCTATGACCCAACAGCACCACATCAACTAGACCGTGGGACAAAATGCCACGCACAGTCTTTTGTTGAGCACCGCCAGGGATGGTGACTCCACTACCTCCCTGGGCAGCCCATTCCAACATCTAATCACTTCTGTGAAGAACTTTCTCCTAATGTCCAATCTAATCCTCTGCTGGCACAACTTAAGACTATGTCCTCTCATCCTATCACCAGTTGTCTGGGAGAAGAGGATGACTGCCATCTGGCTACATCCCCCTTTTAGGTAGTTGTAGAAAGTGACAAGGTCCCTCCTAAGCCTCCTTTTCTCCATGATAAAAAACCTCAGCTCCTCCTCATAGGACTTCTGCTCAGACCCTTCACCAGCTTTGTTGCCCTTCTCTGGACTCAACCCCCTTCTTCACGTCCCCTGTAATCTCTGTGTCCTGTCAGGGCCCCACCCAGGGTCTCCCATGGCTGGAGGCCACAAATTTACACTCTTCCCGTCCCTTTGCCTGGGTGACCCCAACCTCCACAGCCCAGGGCCCCCACTCCCCACTGGACACCCCTGCCCCACCAGGTCCTTGTTCCCCCTCCCAGGTGGGCACTCAGATCCCAGGACTGCCAGACTGCTGGGTGGGTGTCACAGCATCACAGAACAGGACAGGCTGGAAGGGACCACAGCGAGTCACCTGGTCTGGCCTCCCTAATCAAGCAGGGACATCCTAGAGCACGTGGCACACGATTGCATCCAGACGGTTCTGGAATTTCTCCAGGGAGGGAAACTCCACGTCTTCTTTGGGCAATCTGTTCCAGTGCGTGGTCACCCGCACAGTAAAGAAGTTCAGATGGAGGAACTTCCTCTGCATCTGCTCGTGCCCGCTGCCCTGTGCCCTACTGCCCGGCATCACCCAGCAGAGCCTGGTCCATCCTCCTGGGCTCCGCAAACCCCTGCGCGGCCCCAGGCCCGCCAGCGCCTGCCCCGGGCCCCGGCCGGGCCTGACAGACCCCAGGTGGTGCCTCCAGCCCTCATTACCCCACGGTCCCCGGCGGCGGCGCCCCTGGTCCCTCAGCCCCCCGCCCCCCGCGCCCCCGGCCCGGCCGGGCCCGCCCCGCTCACCATGCTCGGCGCGGCCCGCGGTTACCATGGGCAACTGCGTCACACCGCCCCGCGCACGGCGTGCGCGCCACGGGGGGCGGGGCAGCGCTCAGGCCCCGCCCTCCAACGAGCGCATGCGCACGAGGGCGGCCCCGCCGGGCGGAGGTGGGCGCGGCCGCTCGGGGTCCCGTGATTGGCTGAGGGGGGCCACGCGCCGGAGCGCGGGGGCGGGGGCGGGACACGTGGGCAGGAGCGGGGCCCGGGAAGCGCAGGTGGGACACGTGGGGACAGCACGGCACGGGACGGGACATGACGGGACGGGCGGGGCTGGGCTGGGCTGAGCTGGGCGGGGCGGTGGGTGTGGTATCCGAGGCCGTGCAGAGATGAGCTGAACCGAACTGGACCGGGCCGTGGCGGGTCGGGGGTGTGCTGAGCCGTACTGTGCTGTGCCGGGCCGGACCGTGCCTTCCAGAGAAAGGCAACGAAGCTGGTGAAGGGTCTGGAGCTCAGGTTTTATGAGGAGCGGCTGAGGGAGCTGGAGGTGTTTAGTCTGGAGAAAAGGAGCTTAGGGGGCACCTTATCGCTCTCAGCTACTGTCCGAAAGGAGGTTGTAGCCAGGTGACGGTCGGCCTCTTCTCCCAGGCAACTAGAGATAGGATAGCCTTAAGCTGTGCCAGAGGAGGTTTAGATTAGAGGTTAGGAGAAATTTCTTCACAGAAAGGGTTGTTAGATGTTGAAATGGGCTACCCAGGGAGGTGGTGGAGTCACCATCCCTGGAGGTGTTTAAGGAAAGACTGCACATGGCACTTAGTGCCGTGGTCTAGTTGACAGGGTGGTGCTCTGCCATAGGTTGGACTCGATGATCTCTTTTCCCGCCTAATTGATTCCGTGCCACGGTGGGCATGCAGCGCAGGTCCCTGTGGGAGCACTCAAGGGCAATACAGGGATGTGCAGGGTGGTGCTGGGGGGGACATAGTGTGGTGTGGGGGTGTGGTGCTGTGCACAGACAGGGCTGCAGTGTAGTTCCCCTGTGAGAGTGCTCACAGGGCAGGGCTGTGCAGCCCTGGGAGGGGCAAGCTGGGCCCTGCAGTGCTGTGCAGCATGTCCCACGCCAAGGAGAGGGTTCTGGGTGCTTTGAGGGGCAGCACAGGTGGGGGGACCCCATGCAAGCAGGACGGTGTGTGGAGGAGCAGCCTCGCTGCAGTGTTCTGCTGGCAGCAGGGGTGCAAGAGGCTCCCAGGCTCAGGGCTGCTGAAAGTCCAGCTACCCTGTTAAAGATAAACCTGCCCTGGCCCTCACCCAGCTGACCGCTCCTGTGGCCGTGGCAGGCCTGCACTCAATGAGCAAGCGAGGCAGGATCCTACTGAGCCACCTTCTTCCCCTGCACAGACCCACAGCAAAATGGCCACTGTTCCCCTTGGCTTCAACATTGATGCCCCGCGCTGGGACCAGAGCACTTTTGTCGGGCGCCTGAAGCACTTCCTCAACATCACCGACCCACGGACAGTGCTGGTGCCGGAGGAGGAGCTGGACAAGGCCAAGGCCCTGGTGGAAGGCTGCAGGTGAGGGGCAGGGGTACAGCCAGGGCAGGTGCCATCCCTGTGCCCGTGGCCATACCTGACCACTCTGCAGTGTTGCAGGGGGATGGAGGCAGTCATTTTCAAGCAGGTACCCTGTGAGGTAACATCCCCTGGAGGCAGTTTTGGGAGTTTCCCAGGCTTTTCCCAGGAGCCTTAAGCTGTAACATGTATCTCTCGTGGGAGATGTTTCCTCTGCCTTTCATGTGTGATGCCCGGGGCTCTGCGCTCCGGCAGTGCCAGGTGCTGGCAGGTCTGTGCAGCTTTCCCTGATAGGCTTTGGGCTTGCAGGGCCGGGCTGGTGCCACCAGGAAGCAGCCAGGAGCAGCTGCTCTATGCCAAGAAGCTGTACGACTCAGCCTTCCACCCTGACAGCGGTGAGAAGATGAACCTCATCGGGAGGATGTCCTTCCAGGTGCCAGGGGGCATGGCCATCACCGGCTGCATGCTTCAGTTCTATCGGTGAGCTCATGGGTTTGCCAGGCTGGGGACACATCCAGTCTGCCTACTCTGGGGCTGGGTACTGCCCAAGGCATGCCCATGGCTGCTGTGCTTGCCTGTGTCCCATGGCCAAGCCCCATGCGTGTCCCTGTGCCCTGTCCCCAGCACCCAGCCTGTGGTGGAAGCATCACAGATCCCCTCAGCCTCTGGCATTGCTGAGGATGGTCTCACTTAACACTCAGTTCAGCTCAGCTCTTCCCAGAGCCCCTGTAATGATTAATGCAACCTAGTCCTACTTGGCTGCTGCTCTTGCTTTGTCTGTGGACCATAGCAGTCCTCAGAACTGAGAACCAAATCTGCCCCCAGGCCAGGTTGCTTCAGCATCCTCAGCCCCTGCTGACAGCTCCCTGCATTTACCTGATGAAATGGCTGCTAGGGGGTGGTGAGCAATCCTGTCTCCAGACTATGTGGATCATACACTTCCTTTCCTATTGGATCCCCATCCAATCCCACCCCTCTTTGCTAGACTGGTTTGACAGTTGCTGATGAGGTCCAGTTGGGATGGGGGATCTCCCAGTGGCAATGGGTCACCCTCTTCTCAGCCCATCTCCACCTTCCTGCATCCCAAAGCCTGCTCAGACCCACGTCTCCCTGTGTCCCTTTCTGCCCCACTTCCATGTTCCTGAGACACCAGTAGAAGCCCAGGCACTCTGGTCTCCCAGGGCCACTTCTGTCCCCATGTGTTCCCTCCTTGCTGCTCCCTTTGACAAATGCTTATCTCAGCCCAGCAGGATGGCTGCCGCCCTGCCAAGAGCTGCATCTCCCACCCCTGCCTGAGTGCCCTGCAGGGTTGGACCCCCTCCTGTGATCCCCAAAGCCCTAGGGCAGCCAGGATTCCTGGGTTATTTCCCAAATCTGCCACTGGCTTGTGGTTTTGCCAGCGTTCCTCAGTTTCCCTTTGGAGACACCATGACAAATATATTCAGGGCATCTTGGCTGGCTCACTGCCAAGCCTGGCCACAGGCACAGGCCAGGCATCCATGACAGCCTCTGTGTGCTCTCCTGGTCCTTTCCCTCTGCAGGACGGTGCCTGCTGTGGTTTTTTGGCAGTGGGTGAACCAGTCCTTCAATGCCTTCGTCAACTACACCAACCGTAACGCTGCCTCCCCCATCTCGCTGAGGTGAGTGATTCCACACACAGGATGGGGACCCTCTATGTTGACACCCCCTTGGATACCCTGTAAAGACCACCTATGCTCTGTCTTGGGTACTGAAGGAACAGAGTTGAGTCAGAGTTGGTGTTTCTATTCTCTCCTTTCTTTGGAAATCGCTGTCCAGGCAAATCGGCGTGGCATATGTCATGGCCACCGGTGCAGCCCTGGCCACTGCGGTGGGACTCAACCTCTACACCAAGGTATGCCAGGCTGGGGCCAGGTGGGGTAGCTGGGCACATCCTGCCCTCCTGCACTGATGCCAGTCTGTCTCCCACAGCGAGCACCCCCCTTGCTGGCCCGCTGGGTGCCCTTCGCAGCTGTGGCTGCTGCCAACTGTGTCAATATCCCCATGATGCGGCAACAGTAAGTGTCACGCGTGGATGGGACACTCCAGAAACCCAGCTCCTTCCCAAGGCAACCTGGTGCCAGCTGGGCTGCTGGGCTGCCTGGTCACTCTGCCTTAGATTCCCACCCCAGGGGTTGAAGAGGGTGGGAGGATAGGAGGGAGGTGAACTGGAGTCTGTGTTTTTGCAGTGCTATGTCTCTGGTGGAGGGTGCCAGGTGGGATGGCTCAGCCTCTGCCTGGAGCAGGAGGGGGATTTTGGGCTGAGGATAGCTGTTCTGGGATCTGGGCCAGAAGATCCCTCAGACCCAAAGGTCTCCTGCAAGTGGTGAAGGGAGAGCCCCAGTCCATGATATCCTGGTGCTGGTACACTCCAGGTGGGGCCCATGTGGAGACCTGTGTTTGCTGCTTAACATCCCCCACGAGTTGCAGCAAGGGAGGTGGGGGGCTGTGTGAGGAACTGTCCCGTGGCTTGGCTGTGAGTCCCAGGCAGTGTCTCTCCCTGGCACGGCTGGATCCTGCTCACAGCTGTGCCCTGAAGATGGCAGCATCGGCTGGGCTGGGACCACAGCACCCCGGGGTGATGGAGCCCCGTGCCCCGGGGGCAGCCGGTGCTGCTGTGCCAGCACAGCACAGAGGACCTCCTTGGCACTCCCTCACCCCACTGCTGTGTTCTTACGCTTTCCCGACCGTCCTGGCCTCCACTCATGGCTGCCTGTCCCCTTCAGGGAGATCATCAATGGGATTACAGTGACAGATGGGGACAACAATGAGCTCGGTCGCTCCAGGGTGAGTCTGGAGAGGGAGGTCCGGGCTGGGGCATGGCACTGCAGGGGCTCACCTGCTGCTTTTGCTTGCAGAGGGCAGCAGTGAAGGGCATCGCGCAGGTTGTGGTCTCCAGGATCACCATGGCAGCACCAGGCATGAGTGAGTGTAAAGCAGGAGGGTGCGGGACTGGACTACAGACTTCCCTGGGGCCCACTACTTTTCCCTCCCCTGCTTCAGTTTCCCTCATGAAGAAGAGGGAGGGTGGCGCTGCATCCCAGGTGTCATTTGGTCTCATCCCACAAATGAAGCTGATCTCCTTATCCTGCCATTCCAGTCAGAGTCCCCCAAACCCCCAGGCTTCCTCATCCCAACCCATAGCCTGTGGGGGACATGGGGTGCTCTCATGGCAGTTTGGCCCTGCAAGGACACATCTCATGCTCTCTGGCCCTAGTCCCTCGTTCTGCAGCCCAGCATCCCCTCACCTCATGAGACCCTTGACATGCTGCAAGCTTAGCAGGAGGGACTGGGAGCATGAGGAGCATGGACCATGCAGCCTGGGTGATGGATGTGTGTGGGTTAAGGTCCTTGCTGTGAGCAAACATCCAGTGGCCCTCAGCACAACTAGCTGCTGCCATGGCCTCCAGGTGGACAGTCCTGCTGGGAGAGCCCTGCAGGCTGGCTTGCAGGGGGAGCCTTACCTTTTTTCTCTGTTCCTAGTTATTTTGCCCATCATCATGGAGCGGCTGGAGAAATTCACCTTCATGCAGGTGAGCTCACATATCCCCTGCCACAGTTTTCCAGTGGGTTTTGCAGTGCCCTAGCCCTGCTTCCCAGCTGGCAAGATGGAGAGGATGAAATGGGGGTTTCCAGAGCCTGGCTTGCTTTGCCCCCTGCTCAAGTCACCGATACACCAAAGGTCTCTCGAGTGACATGGAGAGGCTGTGAAAGGGGGGCAGTGTTTGATGGCACGCTGGAGGTGTTGGGCCTTCAGCACCTTTGAGGGCAGAAGTCTGCCCACACTTTGAGCAGGACTTGTGGTGAGGACCAGGGACTCAATCCCAGCTCTTCCCTTGCAGCGAATCCGGGTTCTCCACGGGCCTCTGCAGGTGCTGCTCTGCGGGGGCTTGTAAGTATCTCACTGCTCAAACACCTGAGGGTGCCTGGAGCACGGCTCCAAGGGATGCTGGAAAAAAATACCTCTTTTCCAGCAGGGGAATGCAAAGGCTTGCCTTTCAGCCTGGGCTTTCCCCAGTTTTTGGGTGTCAAGAGGTGTAAGCAGCACCTCTTGGGCTGAGATCTCTGTGGCTGGGGGGCAAATGGGCTGCAATCCCCAACACTAATGCTTGGCTCTTCTGTCCTACAGCCTCCTGTTCATGGTGCCAGCAGCCTGTGCCCTCTTCCCACAGAGATGGTACCTGTCCCACTGCTTTCCCCTCCTGCATGAAACTTCGTGAGACTTCCCCCTCCCCTAGGTCTCCTCTGCCCATACCAGGAGAAGCATGATGGACACCTCAAGGCATCACTTTCCTGTACATGCTGGTGCCTGGGGCAGCAGGAGAGCATGTGCCTGCTCTCCTCTGTGAGCTCTGTGCTGGAAGCAACGGGACACGCAGCTCCAAGGGCAGCTCTCTGCCCTCCAGCACTCAGAGTGGTGGATGCCAGGGATGGGCAGTGGATCTTGACATTAGCCTGCAAGATCTCAGGGAATGCAGAGGGCCTCAAATGGCAATGGGGAGGGAGGGTGGCTTGACTGGTGGCTGGGGAGGAGGATCACAGGTCTCAGTGTCTACCCCCTCTCCCCACAGCTCCCTTGCGCTGGCTGACCTTGAGCAGGAGCTGCGTGACAGCATCGTGGCCAAGCACGGGGACAAAGTGCCATACGTCTATTTTAACAAGGGACTGTGAAGATCACCTCAGGAGCCATCGCACCCCTCCAGCCCCCTACTACCACCAGCCCCGCGTCCCCTGAGCAGGGATCAGAAGCACAGTCCAGCCAGATCTGCTACCCAGCCCAGCATCTTCTCTACTGCCTCCTTCCACTGGAGAAGCCGGATCTGGCTCTGTGTGCCCAGCTTGCAGCACTTTGGCTTGTCCTGAGCCTCCCTCATCTGCTGCTGGCCGTGTCCCTGCTTCCTCACATTCCCCTTGCCCTGAGCAATGCCTGCCTTCCTCCACTGGCCCAGTGCTGGAGGATCTGCCCAGCCTTTCTGAGCCTTTTGTGGTCACTGGACTTGGCCCCACAAGGCATCAGGCTCTCACATGGAGCTCAGAGCACAATTCTACCTCTGAAAGCAGTTGTCCTGCCATTGTACCAGCAACCAAACCACATTTGTGCCTTAAACCTCCACAGTAGCCTCTTACCAAGACCTGAATCATGCCTTGGCAGGCATGAAGGGACCTGGCCCCTCTGCACAGGGAGTACCCCAAAGTCCAGAGGTCAGTGCTTGGACTATGCCTTCCTTGCTCTCAGGTTCAGGTTTTATTCACTTTGCTATTGCCACAATCCAGGAAGGAAATAGCTAATGTTTTTTAAGCTCTAATTTTTGCATTCCTCTGATCACAAAAGCCAGCTGTCACCCTTGTCCTGCATCTCACTGTCCCCATGGTAGGACCATGGACCTGCAGCCTTGGAGGGCAGTTGTCTCTGTGCCCCCTTGGACGGGGGAAGAAGATACAGACGTCACAGAATCACAGAATTGTTAGGGACCCTCTGGAGATCATCTAGTCTGCCTAGGCAGATGATCTAATGCCAAGGCAGGTTCACCTAGAGCAGGTGACACAGGAAGGCATCCAGGTGGGTTTTGAATATTTCCAGAGAGGGGCACTCTACAGCCTGCCTGGGCAGCCTATTCCAGTGCTCTACCACCCTCAGTGCACAGAAGTTCTTCCTCATGTTGAAGTGGAACTTCTTGTGGTTTAGTTCATGGCCCTTGCTCCTTGTCCTGTCACTGGGCACCACTGAAAACAGCCTGGCACCATCCTCTTGGCACCTGCCTTTGCAATATTTATATGCATAGATGAGATCCTCTCTCATTCTCCCCCAGACAGGACCAGCTCCCACAGTCTCTCCTCATAGGAGAGATGCCCCAGACCCCTCATCATATCTATGGCCTCTGCTGGACCCTCTCCAGTAGCTACTTGTCTTTCTTGTCACAGAGCTGCATTCACCTGGGCTCTGAATACCAGCACTGCAAACAACAGAGGAAGGTCGAAAAATAAATACAGTGATTTTTAAAAACCAGCTGTGGGTTCTGCTGCTGGCTGGTCTCTGCGTGTCTGGTTCTCTGGGCTGGGCTGGGTTGGTATGTGGGTCTCATGCTTGCCTTGAAAGGGAAAAGGTGCAGGTTTTGTGACTGACCAGGCACCAGGGTGAGGGTCAGCACAGGAGCCAGGAGAAGGAGGAAGAGTGTAGGGGCTGGCATGAATTCTGAAATCTTTGGGCATCCAGTGCAGAATTCCTCAAATGGTTCTTGGGGCTGCAAACAGGCCTAAGGAAAGTTACAAAAGGTGATAGTGCATTGTGACACTTATCCCATTGTGGGAACTGGGGGGGTGACACTGGGTGACCCTTCCTACACCCATGGGTGCTGTTTATCTTCTTGGTCTGGCAGAGTTTGCATGATGATATCTTGGGTCTGCCATGAGGCCTCTCCCACCCTGAAGAAGAGCAGCTTGAGTTTGCTGTAGCCTATTTTTGGAGGAGGAAGGAGTCCAAGTCCTGGGCTAAAACCCTTGCTTTTAATCAGCTGCACCCAGGCTCTCTGCTTGCTGATGAACATCCCTCAGTGGGACAAGCATGCTTCTAACAAGCCATATGATGTGGCTGCTCCCAGGGCCCCATGGCCTCTCTCCAGCCAGGGATATATGCCAGATCCCCCGGGGATTCTCACATCAGTTACGTGCCTGAGTAGAGACACATTAACCACTCTGCTCCTACAGAGAGAGCAGACAAACCCAAAAGGTACTTCTCAAAGGGCCAAGCTGTATCCACAGCAGGTTTGCTTCTGCCCAAGCTGCAAGAGGCAGAGCATAATGTCTCCAACCACACGTAGATACAGCTAGAAAGCTGTAAAAGAGCCCTGAAATAATTAATAGGCCAGCAGAAAGTAGGAAAACATGTTCAAACTTGTGTTTCTGTTCCCTGGGCATTATTATATCTCTTGTTAAAGTGCAATTAAAATAACAGATAAGCACATGAAGTGAAACAGATGTCACTCCTGGTGGGAGTGGGGAGAAGCCACAAGGAGCCACCTCCGCTCTCTACTTTTCTTAAGCTCCTTAACTCAAGCTGCTCTCATCCTACACCCAAAACAGCTTTGGGGACTTTCAGAAAGGTACCTCTAGCAGCCTGGGCTGTGTTTGGGTCCAAGGTGCCTCTGGCATGCTTGGGAGCACGGCAATGCTTGTAAAACAATGTGCTGCAGCACCCTAAAACTGCCCTTCCCCTGTGCATCACAGCCAAGCTCTTGGTGTTGATCCTTCCTGCTTTGGCAGTTTGGGGAAGTCCCAGCAGGGCAGAGGGTTCTGCAGCCAGCGATGCTGGGGCAGCAGCCACAAGAGGCAAAGGCTGGTACCACGGTGGCAAAGTCTCAGCTGTTTTGCCGCTCCTTTTATCCTGTCCACAGCCATACTGGAGGGGTAATGGAGCAGGGAGACCCTCTGAAGAGCTATTGCCATCTTGCATCAGCTCTCCCCCAGCCCTGGGGAGTGGGGCATAGTGTGGTGCAGTGCATTGCTCATGGGCAAGAGGAAAAGGGTTGCTCTGGGCTCAGAATTGTCAAACGATCTTTAAGATAGACCTTCCCCCCGCTTCGAGCTTACGGCAGTGGATTCTCTCTTCAGATCGACATGGATTTATGCCAGCTGACAGTTTAGCTCAGCAGGGTTTCTAGGTTTGTAGGTTGTAGCTGGAGTCTCCCCGGAATGTTTCAAGTCATCTCAGCAGCTCATATCACTCTGAAGATGGTTGTTGCCGCCTGTGCCTCCCAGGTCTCCCCAAAAACACAGTAACTCCCCGGCCTGCCTTGGTCTCACTGGGGAGCAGAGGGGTCACTGCCAAGCTGTGGCCAGCAAGTCCCCATGCAAGGCCAGCCTTGTCTCCATTTCCCATCGCAACAGAAAAGGAAACCTCATTGCCAGGAGTCAGAGCCAGACTCATTCCCGCTTGGGAAGAGCAGCAAGCATTAATTGCTCTCCACTTGATCTGGGCTTGTCCTGTGCTCCGGTGAACTCGCTGCCCATCTCCCTGCTGTGCCTCTAATTTCAGGGCTACCTGGGAACAGGACTAAAGCTTCTTCAATAACTGTTTGTGACTGAAATGTCAGTGCTCCAGCACGTTTACAACCTCCCTTCAAATGGTAACTGCACCAAAGATGTCACGTTGGTCTGCAGCAGAACCTGAGTAGGGGCTAGGGAGGCATGGGGGGCTGGTGGACTCCCTGAGGCACCAGCAGTCCCAGCAGGAAGGCTTGGCTCGCGGCTCCAAGCCCAAAGGCTGGTGGAGACTGGGGAACCGGCTGCCACGAAGCGAGGAGGGAGCAGGGTCCATGTGCAGTGGGTGAACGCCCACGGCAGGGCAGGCAGCTGAGCTGATCCGGCCGGGCTAGGTGTGCCTGAGTACTGCCCTGATAGAAAAATGCCACGGCAGGAGATAAGCTGCTAAGTCAGTTATTTTTTTTCTGGCTTTTCTTAACATCTTATCTGAGCATCTTATAAACCTTGTCATGCCAATCCTGCACAGAGGCTGCCTGACACACTGGGAGTGGCAGTGTGGAAACCCTCTGAGACTGCTCCAGAAACACTGGCTGTCTCCCCGGAGCTGTGAATTAATCCTGAGTGCCGGTGCCCCTACTTTTCCTGGGAGTGCGAGGGATCGCCATGTGGGGAAACTCTGGGATCCAGCTGCAGTGGGAGATCTTCTCCATGCTCATCCTGTCTCCCAGTGGGACTGGCACAAACACAAAACTGCTCACCGGACACCTCGAGTGTCATCATGCTGCTGCAGCCATGCCAGCACCCTCTCCATGCCTCAGGACCGGGCGGGCTGTTGGGATTTGGGACAATGTGGGAGGAGGCTGAGCCGGGATCATGGTAACCAGGAATGACCAGGTGAATGGAGGATGAGTGCCTGGCTGCCACTGAGGTGTCAGGGAGGCTGTGGCAGCCAGAGGATGCCAGTAGCCCCCCTTTCCACAGTGTCCAGCTCTGCTCCCGGGGTTCAACTGGAGGGAGGTGCGGCCCTCGCACCCCTTTCCAGCCAGTTCCGCCACTCACAACATGGCGGCCCGGATCCCACCCCAGGGTCCCTCCCGGCTGCGCCACACTCAAGATGGCAGCCCCCAGTGCACAGACCCCGCCCCCCACGGTTTAGCCCTAAGTGACAGCGTGCTGAGCCAATAGCGTGCCAAGCGGCGTGCCGCCCGCCCAATAGGCGTGCTGCGGGGGCGGGCCCGGGCGCGGGGTGCCCCTCGGCTCCCGTCCCGGGCCGCAGTCGGGCCGGGCAGGCGGGAGCGGGGGGTGGGGGGGATGGCGAGGAGGCTCCACGCCGCCATGGCCCTGCTGCTGCTCCAGGCCCTGCCCGAGGGGCTGCCCGCCGGCGTGGAGCCCGCCCAGGTAGGGGAGGGGGTCGCCCGGGGGGCTCTGGGGTCGCGCCGTGTCTAGGGGCTACGTCCCTGGGGCGGGGGGCGGCTGTGGACGCGGGGGGCTGCGCCGGCCCTTGGGACAGCGGGCCCGGCGGGGCTGGCAGGGGGTGCGGGGGGTGCCTGGGGGAAGAGGCTTTTGGGGTCCCGCCTGAGGTTTGGGCAGCGCCGTGGCTTGAGTGAAGCTGTAGGAGATGCAGAGCTCTGAGTTCGGGGGTCCCTGCGTGCCGTGGGGACGGAGAGGGGGTGTGGGGCTCCAGGAGCGGCTGGCAGTGCCGCTCGGAGGGCTTTGTGCGGCAGGGTGGCTGCAGGACGAGGGAGAAAGGTGTTTGACTGGAGCCCGTGGGAAAGGTGTCCGTAGTGAGGACAAGAGGCTGGAGCTGGCGCGGGCCTGCGGGTGGAGGTGCAGGTGACTTTTGGGGGTGGTGACAGGGAACAAGGTGACCTGTGAGGGGACAGTGCTGAAGGTGATGTAGGGTGGCAGAGGGGCAGCTGGCCAGAGGACCCGGGTCAGCAGGGAAGTGGGACGTGAGTGGTGCTGCCCAGGACAGGTGAGCTGGTCTTCCCGTGCCAGGAACAGCAGAGAGGAGATTCCGTGCAAACCTCCTGTGGGCAGGGGGAAGGAAGAGGAATCGTGTTTCAACTGGGATGAGGGGAACTAGGCCTTGTCTTAGTAGTCTCTGACCACCTGCTTACTGCCTTCATTATGCCTGGAAAGGGTTTTAATGAAGTTGATTCTCTCTTTTTCATCTCTTTACTCTGTTTCCTGTCTGTGCTGCAATGTTGGTGCTGTTGGGATCTCCAGTGACGGTCTTGAGTCCAGCAGTGTAGACGCCTGTAAACCCCTCCCACCTTGCTATGTGCTCAGTGACACTCGGAGAGCACTGCACTGGGCCAAGCAACCTGTGCACAACCTGGATCTTCTCATTTGACTTTTTCCCCCCATGTAGAACATAGATGGAATATGATGACTTCTGGTTTGATGTGGTGTATTCTGTGTAAGGTAAAAATTGCGGTTTGCATTTGTTGAACGTCAGAGACGGTGAGATGATGTAGGTCACACATGCTGTGGGGTGCATTGTGCTTAATGTCACAGGGGTGCAGACGGACAGTGTCCTTCTGGAAGGGGTCCATTGAAATACTTCCCAATCCTTCTGCAGGAGGAGGAGGTGAGGAG